GAGTGTTGGAGATTCGTCCGGCAGATAATGACAAAAGGCTACCTGGTGAAAAAGTAATCCAGGGAACTGGCAACCAGCCAAATTCAATAACAACATGAAAAGTGTGGGGGATGGATGGATGAAAGGATGAAAGTGTACGGGTGAGGTGATGCAACTGTATCTCAACACTATCCTGTTGCTGTAAGCCAATGCCTCCTGATGATATATTCATGCAGAGTTGATGGGTAGAGAAAAAACTGAGCGAGGAGAAGAGAGGCACACCCATTGCTTTCCTCTCTCATCTCACCAGCTGTGGCCTGCAATGTTTCAGTCTGCACTACAATCAAATAACAATCTCTTTCGCTGAGGGTGACGGAGAAAAGAACCCTCCACAATAATAAAAGCAGCTTATATGACAGAATAATTTATCTGCAGGTTCTGATAGGCAATGATAGATTTATTTCCTATACTCTTTAATTGCGGTCTTAGTAAATGCTAAATAATAGGAAAAACATGAATAAGTGTGGTCTGTTCACCTTGTTTTGCGGTTTGGTGCTGAGGTTCTCAGGTTTCTCCCAGCAACGAGTGGACAGGTTGAGGATGGCAGTGGCAGCCATGTGCGCGGCCTCGGCATCGTGGGAGTAGTCGTAAGCCGAGGTGGAGCTCTTCCCATAACCGTGGAGACTGAGGCTGGGCGACGATGATTTGGGGAATGACAGCTTAGCTGCTGGAGGACAGAAATTTAACTTAAATGTACATCAGAGATCAGAAAAGTATGAGACGACAGAGGAGAGAATGATGTATGGGAAAACAAAATATATTCATGGAAATAATCAAAGTACTGATGGTACAGCCTTATGTGCCTAGTTTGTTCAAGTAACTAATAAAAGATAATAGAAAACTACAAAATGAAAATATTAATTAAAAGGGGTAGAAAACTCTGGGAGCTAATGTTTGTTGTTACAACAGCTTAGCTGATAAATATGAAGCCAGCAGCTTTATCTTAGCATAAAGACTGGAAACAGGGGAAAGCAGCTACACTGGCTCTGTCCAAAATCCACCCAGCACCTCTAAATGTTAGAAATTAGCAGGTTATATTGCACTTATTTAATCCATAAGAAAGGCACTGCACCCAGCCAATGAATAATCCAAGATACAACGCCTCATGAAAGCACACCTTTTTATTTTACACTTTCTTTTTTGTACAGATTAAACAAATGTGAGCTTTAGTGAGTTCCAGAGGTTCCAGTGATGACAGTAGCTTCATATTTTGCATGAGAGTAACTCTCAGCAAGAAAGTAAATAAACATAATTCTCAACATGTCAAGCTGTTCCTTTATTAAAGCACCAACAGTAAAATATGCTGTAAAACATGATGACTGAATGGCAATAGTCTGCACAACAAGTCCCAGCAAGAACCCCACACAAGAAAGCTGTCTTACTTTTGAAGGCTTTGGGTGAGGTTTCGCTGGTGGGCATCTTTGGAGCAAGCATGCGCTTCCCAAACACTTGAGCGTCAAAGCTTGCATAATCGAAGGACACCTTGGAGTACTTCTCCAGCTCCTTGGCCAGGTTGGAGCGCGGCGTGCTGGTGGAAACATTGTTCTTGTAACCATACTGTGGATAGTCCAGTTGTTTGACAAAGCACATAGGCCTGGAAAATAAATGATGAGGGGGTGGAAGTTGGACCGAGGCACTCAACATTGCCCAGGGGAAGGAGAGGGCACAAAGCACATGGGCCTGTAAGGGGGAAAAGGGTGAGTGAGAGGATCTCATGGTTGGGCTGGTGGGTGGGGATGGGGCAGGGGGGTGAAAGATAAAATAAAGCAGAAAGTAGAATAGGATAGAAAAAGACTGAATAGATGAGGAGAGATGGAAAAAAGAATAACAAGTCACACAATCCAAACAAATAGAAAGAGGAGAAAAAGAATATGAGAGTAAGAGAGGGCGGTAGAGTGACACAGACAGAGTAAAGATAGGGGCAACGGTGTACTTAGCAGGAGTGCAGCAGGATTAAAAGCTCTCTTATCAGCAGAGGGCACATTTGCATGTTGTACAGCATGGAATTTATGAGCTTTAAGCCCTCTCGTTTTCCTGGAGAGTCTGGGCTTTTGTCAGACCTGTTGGCGTAGCTCCACTAATAATAGACCAGGGAGAGGCAGAAAGGCAGGGGAAGAGAGAAAGAAGAGTGGAGAGAGGGAAAGAAATGAGGGGGAGTGGTGAAAGAAGGAAGGAGGGGGTGGAGGATAGAGACACGAGGAGTGAAGCCACCTTCTTCATCTTGCTTTTTTTTTAATCTCTGAGTCTTCCACTCCCCTTAGCTCAGCCTGTTTTTTCCTCCTCTGCATCCTGTAGCACCGAAGCCCGTACCACAGTCTCTGGTCTCCAACCATATGCTCTTTAATAAGCTACATGACCTGGCCTGTAGGCACTGCTGTGGGGTGGCCTTCCCACACCGGCACACCAAAAATATACAGACACAAATGAAAGGAAAGGGAGCGGTGGTCTCCTCTAGGATGACAGTGTCCCCATCAACAGGACACGAGGGGTCACTGAATGGTTTGATGAGTATGAAAATGTGATGTGAATCATATGCTGTGGCCTTTACAGTCACCAGATCTCAACCCAGTTGAACTTCTATGGGAGATGCTGTGGGACGTGTTAGACAGCGTCTCCACCACCATCATCTAAATACCACATGAAGGAATATCTTTTGGGAGAATGGTGTTCATCCCTCCACTAGAGTTCAGAGACTTGTAGGTGCACTGAAGCTCTTCTGGTGGCACGTGGTGGCCCAGCACCTGATGGAGAAACTTGAAGGTGGGTTTTCCTTTTATGTGTTACACATCTTTATATGAACAACAGAGCTAGCCTAAAGAAGGATTTTCATGATATTAACTGATCACAGGGGATTTTTTTTGTGTGTGTGTTTCTGTTTTTATTAATTCAACATGGATTCCTTTAGAACATGAGGAATTCTTCAACCCTGCACATAACTGACAATCAAATTCATTTTAATAACAATCTGAGAAGGAAAACAAAGCAGGCCTTATTATGTTTTAATCCTCGATGCTTTGTCCATCCACTGATGAGGTTTTCCTCAAGGAAAGCAATTATTTTTCCTATCCCCTGCAATGCCCCTATAACTTGCATAATTAGCTTATCAGCTGCATTATTAATTAAAATACCAATGAGGAAGAATGTGGACTTAGCATAATACCAAAGTCTGGTTTGTGGTAATTATCATTCTTTTGGCTGTGATCACAGTGCCTGGTCGGTTGGGAAGTTGAATGGAGATAAAGAGATCTCGGTGTCTGAGGTGACAGTAATGATCAGACTGCCAGCTCGTTATACTGAGTCACTGACAGGCAAGCACCAGCTCTCCTGAGGGGCACAGTAACCAAGGTCAAGAACGTGGCTCGGTAAAGTAGAGGAGACGGGTTTTATGCCCTCTCTGTTCCTTTTTGCTCTTGTCATTTTATCTACCACACCAGTCAAAAACTATAACTGAACACATAAATTATAATAGTTAATTAATATAGAGTGTGAAAATACATGTACAAGCATTCTAATTTTCCTACAACCTCCAGTCAGAAATGTTTATTAGCTAGCTGAAGCTAACTTTAACATCCACATCCTGCATAGTATTGTACATCACTGTATAAATTCTTGTGACAGTAGCTAAAGTTACTCAGCATGAAAAAACTAAGTTAATGCACATTTTTAGTTTATTTGACATTATAAGAAAGGGGACATTAAATAATACCCATCTAAAAATGTCAAAGTTAA